GGATTACAGGGGAACGAAAAAAGCTATAAACAAAATTCTTTTTGCTGAGGAAAGTAGACAGTCCATTCTTTTAGAATCTGGTGTCGGATTTCAGATAGTCATAGTACACAATATTCTGTGGGTCTTGAAAAATCAGTAAAAATCATCATAAATGGCTGGCACTGTGGGAGTACCTGTTCTGAAATAGGCTGGCATTCAATGAGTTAAGAGCGTTGTTTAACTCTTTCAGTGCCAGACATTTTCAGAACATCACTCCTCCAGTGCCAGCCGTTTTGCTGATTTTCACCGACTTTTAAAGACCCATAGAATATGTTCTGCTATGACTAGCTTAAATCCGACCATATTCTGAAAGATTGGACCCTCTAGTTTACTCAGAAAAAATAAGTGTGTTTCTATCGGCTTTAGTTCTTCTGTAATCACCATTGGAGTAAGGTAAACTTTTCACAGAAATCATCAGTTTCCGACATAAAGCTGAGAAAATGAGGTGTTTGTGAAAATAAGCAAACAATGCAGAAAAGTGACTTTGAAAAGGTTTTTTTTTACTTTAGTCATTTCTCACACAACAGAACATTCTTCCCATATATAAAATTAGGGAAATGACTCAAAATAAAGTGCTTTTGATAGCAAAATAATACTCAGAACACAGAATAATACTCAGAACACAGAATAAGAAATGTACAAACATAAATTACAAACAAATAACTATATACATAAAGTGCTGATTGGCTGAGAGCGTGCGTGCGTGTGTGCGTGCGTGCGTGTGTCTCTGTCTATATAGTGTAATCTTGTTGTGTGTGATATTTTGTGAAGCACTCTCCTTTGTGTAAGGGGACACCACATGCCTTGCACCACATCCTGGTCTCACTGCGCAGGCCTTTGCGCATGCAGACCCTGCTTCTCCTCGAGGGTCTGGTCTTCGAGCCGGAGGACAGCAGGTACTCCTCGTGCCTGGCACCCTCATCGAGCCTGCTCTCTGGATCAGTGTTATATGGAGCCCTGGGGTTTCGTGGTGCTCCTTCCTCCACACATGCAACGATCGACTGGTTCTCCTCGTTGTGGTCCTCCTCGTCCTCAATGTCCTCCTCGTCCTCCTCGTCCTCGATGTCCTCCTTGATGTCCTCCTCGTCCTCATCCTGGACCTTCAATGTCCAGGACCTCATGACCCCCTGCATAAATTCCAAGAGGGTTTTGTATTCCCGGTTCCCGTTCCTGGCTCTGTAGAGAGTGTAGGCATTGTACATTGCGATTTGGAACAGGTAAGCGACAAATTTTTTGGTCCAGTTTAGAGACTTCCGGACGAACGGGTAGTATTTTATGTTCTGATCCAATCGATCCACGCCATTCATGGAGGAGTTATAGGCATCGACACACTCCGGTTTTAGGACAGACACCTTCTCCCTCTGTCCTCGCTGCCAAACGTCGACACTAGTCATATTGTCATGGTGACATGTTGTCAACATCTTGACAATCCGTTTGTCCTGCCACACCACAACCATGACCTTCCCATTGTTCACCGCGACTCTCCCCCCCACACTCAGCTCAGTCTTGGTCACGTCCCTAATGCTCTCAGGCTCTCCCCGGTTCTTCCTTAGCGTCCTACACACATTTGTTTTTACTGCCATCAACTGCTCAGACAATGCCACAGAATTGTAATAATTGTCCATAAACAGAGTGTGGCCGGCACCTGGGAGACGGTCAAGGAGAGAAAAAAACAATGTCAGGGATCGTGCGGGGCTCACCAACATAGGGCTGCAGGTTAAAGCAGTAGCCGGTGGCAGAGTCGCAGAGCACATAGGACTTTATTCCATACTTTATGGGCTTCTGTGGGTTGTAGACCTTGAAGGCCAGCCGTCCTCTCCAGAGCAACATCCCCTCATCTATGCAAATATTCTGCCCGGGTTGGGACATTACCTTGAATTTATTGATCAGGTAGTCGTAGATGGGGCGAACCTTGTATAACCTGTCAGTTACATCAATTGCAGAGTTGTCATTGTAATGGAGGAACCTCCATATGAGTTGGAACCGGTTCCTGGACATTATTTTAGTGAAGAACGGGGTCACAAACATCTCATCCACGTTCCAATACATTGCCAGGGTTGGCTTGTGGATAACACCAGTGAGGAAAGACAATGCAAAGAACTTTTTTAGCTCTGGAATGGTCACTGGTCTCCATGCATGCTTTCTGCTGTGTTGCGGAATCTCTGGGTTTGCCAGGAAATGCTGCTGAGCATAGAGGTTGGTCTGCTCTGTGATGTGCTGGAGCAGCTCGTCCGTGAGGAACAGCTCCAGGAAGTCAGCAGGCGAGGTGGACTCCAGCTCTGCTGCCGCGTTCAGGGGACCAGGCGTTGCAGTGAAGGGGAACACAGTTGGTTTCCATCCGGATTTCCGCCAGGTGCCGCCTTTACCCTTTGCAACTGTAATAAATTATGGAAATTTATACAATAAATAGGAATCAAATAGAGCTCGTTTTATTGATTTGATGTGATGTAGAGAAAGATATTCCTACCTGTTTTCTTCACACCTGTATTTGCAGGACTCACGCTGGCAGCGCCTCTGCTCAATGTAGCGCCTGTATAGAATTGTACAATAACTCATCTATCCATATACACACATATCCAAATACATATACATCTACAGACGCACATATCCAAAGACACACAGACACACACGCACAGAGACACACGCACACACACACTACACATACATACATATTATACACATACATATACACACACACATGCATATATACATACATATATGAGTATTTTATTTACCTGTAGGCCTCCTTTTACCAGCATTAGTACTCCTGGATTGGCCCAGCACTCTGCTTACTAGAAATACACACAAATACAATCATGAGAATTATACAAGAATACTTTTATTTCATTGCTAAATACATATGTATAATGTATGCATTACCTGCTCTGCCAGTTGCTCTGGGGGAATCGGGGGATGAGTCACTGCTGTTTGGGTCAGCTTCAGGTTCCCATAGCTCTGAAGAGCCTGTATCCGACGAGGAACTTTCTCTGGACCGACGTGGACCACTGGAACTGCGTGCGGCGGCTCTGGAGCGACGTGCGCGGCAAGGACTCCCGCCAACGGCCAGATGCTTAGCAGTAGCTTTAGCCGTAGCCTCAGGCTTTTTGCCAACTGAAGGCCGAGGCAGATCACCTCCACCTTCATCATGGCCATCACCCACTGACCTTCTGATGGTACCACCAGCACCAAACGCCTCCTCCATCGTTAGCTGCCGCTTTCTGCTCATGTTCGCTCTCCCGATTACTCTCGTGTGCTCACTCTAACCAACCTACTCCCACAATGAGATCTGGGCATCCGGTTCCTTTTATGACTGATCGAAGAGCTAAAGGACACTACTGACATCTGCTGGCCGAATAAAATACTGTCAAACAGTCCCGATCAGAGATATATGATAGAATGGATGCGTCTGGATCTGAATACACCAAAACACGTCAATTGCATAAAATGCGTCAATGGCACACAACCACAGATCTTGAATTGACGTAATATGCGTCATTGGCACTGAAAGAGTTAAAAGTCTGGATTTATAAAGAACCTCCAGAACAGGAAGCTCACAGCCCACGGTCCTCTTTGCAGAGCGGAGCACCTTGTTTAAAGCTCTTTTCTTTATCTGTGATGTTTCCAAACCACACAGACACAGAACCAACAAGTAAACTCTCAATGGTGCAGCCATAAAAGTTAAGCACAATCTTAGAGTTAGTGGTAAATTCTCTAAGTTTACGCAGAAAGTAGAGACGCTGACGAGCTTTAACGACTCGGTCAGTGTTTTTAACCCATTTCAGGTTAGACAGAGTTAAACCCAGAAACTTACACTCCTTTACGATCTGCACCTGGGAGTTGTCGATTACGACAGGCAAATGAGAACTATTGCGACTGAAGTCGTGACCAGTTCACATGTTTTGGATGCGTTCAACTGGAGGTTGTTAGTTTGACTCCACTGAACCACGTTTTGTATCTCTGCTCTATAAGAGGATTCATCAGTGTCACTGATGAGACCGATGATGGTGGTGTCATCAGCATATTTGATGATCAAGTTTGAGTCAGAGGAGGACACACAATCGTGAGTGTACAAAGTAAAAAGCAAAGGACTCAAAATACATCCTTGAGGAGAACCAGTGCTCACAGAAACAACATCAGAAAAACAGTCATTGATTTTTACTCTCTGACATCTGTTTACCGGCCACAGAATAAACACAGGCAGCAAATGCCAACCCGAACAAGAACTGATGGAGGAGCGGGACAACGAACCGCAGCCTTCACACCACAGAGGACACCGGTAGCAAAAACTAACCCAAATAAGAACTGATGGAGGAGCGGGCGAACGACCCGCAGCGGTCACACCACAGAATACAGTTAGCACAAGCTAACCCAAACACGCACAGGCGGAGGAGCGGGCCAACGAACCGCAGCCTTCACACCACGAAATGCATGTAGCAATAGGTAACCAAAAGAAAGTACTGATGGAGGAGAGGGCGCAACAGCAGCCTTCACACCAAACAATACACACGTATATAGACAGAAAACACCAATAAATACCCGAAGGACAACGTTACCGTCGCGCCCCACGGAGGGCGAACCGCAGCTCCGATGAAGAGGGCTTCAGCGACAGACGTTGACGAGGTTCAAGCAGCAACGATTCGAACCGCACGCGAGAAGAAAAAAGGAACAGAGTGCTGGATGACGCTGGACTTTATTACCTCCGGTGTGTCACCCAGGGGGTCACAGGTGTGACTCATTTGGTATTATTACTCGAACTGCGCATGCGCGAAGGGAACATTCAGTGCTATGCACCGCCCTCTGGCGGTCAGAAGGGATGAAATAGAACCACTGTAATGGTGGTCTAATGTTAATTTATCATCGAGGGAAAAGAACAGTTTTTCATTAGTTTGAACAAAGTCTCCCAGAAACATGGTTTATGTACTGGGCTCCAAACCACTCATAAATAAACTCATTATTTACAGAGTTCTTGGAGAGATTGTCCCAAACGAGAGAAGAGGCGTTATCCCGAGTTCCATCGCCTCCTTCAAGACACCCTCGAAAAGCCCGAGAGAAAAGACGAGTAAGATCCACTTCATTAAAGTCTAGAATCCTTGAGTGACAGCAGGAGCTGAATCCTAATATTTTATTATATTGAAGGGTCGTAGGCCAAAGCGGTACGCCCGGTCCCCAGAGCCGGAAGAGGAGCCCAGCCCTCCGCCCGCCGTCGATCAGGCTCCGAAACTCAAGAGCGAATATGGACTCAACGCTTGGAAACACTGGGTCCAATGGAGACGGAACCAGCCAGAGCTGCAGCAGCTGCGCCTCAGTGGTACTGTTGTTTTACTGCTTTACTTCCAACTACACACACAGACGACTGTTCGACACATCCAACTACACACACAGACTGTTCGACACATTCAACTACACACACAGACTGTTCGACACATTCAACTACACACACAGACTGTTCGACACATTCAACTACACACACAGACTGTTCGACACATCCAACTACACACACAGACTGTTCGACACATTCAACTACACACACAGACGACTGTTCGACACATCCAACTACACACACAGACTGTTCGACACATCCAACTACACACACAGACTGTTCGACACATCCAACTACACACACAGACGACTGTTCGACACATCCAACTACACACACAGACTGTTCGACACATTCAACTACACACACAGACGACTGTTCGACACATCCAACTACACACACAGACTGTTCGACACATCCAACTACACACACAGACGACTGTTAGACACATCCAACTACACACACAGACGACTCTTGGACACATCCAACTACACACACAGACTGTTCGACACATCCAACTACACACACAGACGTTTCGACACATCCAACTACACACACAGACTGTTCGACACATCCAACTACACACACAGATTGTTCGACACATCCAACTACACACACAGACGACTGTTGGACACATCCAACTACACACACAGACTGTTCGACACATCCAACTACACACACAGATTGTTCGACACATCCAACTACACACACAGACTGTTCGACACAGTTTTGACACGGGCCAAAGGTCGTCTTGAACAGTTTCATTTTATTTGAATGGATGATTTTTGTCAATGTTCACTGCAGTTTAACAAATGGATTAATGTCTCTGTCCTTAATTGAATGAATGTTTATTGTGCATTGACCCTGACAAAATATATTCAGCCTCATAAATAAAATGTCTAGTTTCCGCACATCGTCCCTGGACAGTTTTCAGCCTTATTCAGTTTAAAATATACTCAAGACATTTCTCTCACACACACATGCTTTTCAACTGCAATATTTAAAACAATCTGTAATATTTGTTATTGCTTATAGTATGCGCAGAAATATATGTGTGAGATATACCAGTTTCAGTTTGGTAACAGCATCCTCTGCATGTCACATGACGCTCCTGCAGGATCCTAAATGTTTAAACTCTGTGTGTGTCTGTGTGTGTGTCTGTGTCTGTGTGTTCTCAGCTCGGCCGATCGAGTTGCGGGAGGACGTCCTGCAGTTTCCCACCGCGGAGCTCAGTCTGTGTCTGTGTTACTTCATTTCTGAAGTGAAGCGTCCGAACGGCGAGCCGTACTCTCCAGACGGACTCTTCTATCTCTGCCTCGGCATCCAGAAGGTAACTATGGATATGTTTACATGAGGACACATTTATTTATATAGCACCATTCATGCACAGAGACAACACAGGGAAACTAAAAAACTTCATCGGAATATAAACCATGAAATGATGATGATGATGGTGGTGGTGTTGATGAAGATGGTGGTGGTGATGATGATGATGATGGTGGTGATGATGGTGATGGTGATGATGGTGACGATGGTGATGGTGATGATGGTGACGATGATGATGATGATGATGGTGATGATGACGATGGTGATGATGATGATGATGACGACGATGGTGATGATGACGATGGTGATGATGATGACGATGATGGTGATGGTGATGGTGACGGTGATGATGATGACGATGGTGACGGTGATGATGATGACGATGATGATGGTGACGATGACGATGATGATGGTGACGATGACGATGATGATGGTGACGATGACGGTGATGATGGTGATGATGACGATGGTGATGATGACGATGGTGACGATGGTGATGATGATGACAATGGTGATGATGACGGTGATGATGACGATGGTGATGACGATGGTGATGACGATGGTGATGATGAAGGTGATGATGACGATGGTGATGATGACGATGGTGATGATGACGATGGTGATGATGACTGTGATGATGACGGTGATGATGACGGTGATGATGACGGTGGTGATGATGAAGGTGATGATGACGATGGTGATGGTGATGATGACGATGGTGATGATGACGATGGTGATGATGATGACGATGACGGTGATGATGACGGTGATGATGACGATGACGGTGATGACGGTGATGATGACGATGATGATGATGATGGTGATGGTGGTGATGATGATGATGATGATGATGATGATGATGGTGGTGGACTCTCCTGCAGCTGATATTAAAAGCATAGTAGTTAAGCACAGATGGTTGGTAGTTGAACAGGAGCTTTGTGTGTCAGCACCTGTTTGATAACGGCCGAGTGGAGAACATCTTCATGGATCGATTCTACGGACGCTTTTCCTCAACTTTCACAAAGAACCTGGAAGGTTTCTCTCCCGTCGTCACATCCAGCGGTGAGTCTCACTGTCACAAAACTGACATCTTTTGTTTCTGATTCTTTTGATCTAAAACATGTTCTGCAGTTCTGCTTCTCAGGGTTTTACAAATATGAACTACTTTTCTATAATTTCAGACAAATCCATTCTTTATAACATTTTGTCCAGTTTAACTGTTTCACTTCCCGGTCATGTCTCTGTCATGTGACCCTTGTCTCTATCATGTGACCCGTGTCTCTGCCATGTGACCCCGTCTTGTGACCCCGTCTTGTGACCCGTGTCTCTGCCATGTGACCCATGTCTGCCATGTGACCCGTGTCTGTCATGTGACCCTTGTCATGTGACCCCAGGGTATGTGCACTCGCGTGTGGAGGAGTCCTTCCTGTGGGAGTGTAAACAGTTGGGGGCGTACTCTCCCATCGTGCTCCTGAACACGCTGCTCTTCTTCTGCTGTAAACACTTCGGCTTCAGGAGCGTGGCTCAGCACCGCCTCCTCTCCTTCGCACACGTCATGCGCTGCACCAAGACCGACCCCAGCAACGTCAAGACCACCTTCCTGCGCTTCTACCCGCCCGCCGCCCTCGCCACCACAGGTACCTCAGGCTGTACCTCAGGAGACTGTACCTCAGGAGACTGTACCTCAGGAGACTGTACCTCAGGAGACTGTACCTCAGGAGACTGTACCTCAGGAGACTGTACCTCAGGAGACTGTACCTCAGGAGACTGTACCTCAGCAGGCTGTACCTCAGCAGGCTGTACCTCAGCAGACTGTACCTCAGCAGACTGTACCTCAGCAGACTGTACCTCAGCAGACTGTACCTCAGGAGACTGTACCTCAGCAGACTGTACCTCAGCAGACTGTACCTCAGGAGACTGTACCTCAGCAGACTGTACCTCAGGCTGTACCTCAGCAGACTGTACCTCAGCAGACTGTACCTCAGGCTGTACCTCAGCAGACTGTACCTCAGCAGACTGTACCTCAGGCTGTACCTCAGCAGACTGTACCTCAGGCTGTACAGCAGACTGTACCTCAGGAGACTGTACCTCAGCAGACTGTACCTCAGCAGACTGTACCTCAGCAGACTGTACCTCAGGCTGTACCTCAGGCTGTACCTCAGGCTGTACCTCAGCAGACTGTACCTCAGGCTGTACCTCAGCAGGCTGTACCTCAGGAGACTGTACCTCAGCAGACTGTACCTCAGCAGACTGTACCTCAGCAGGCTGTACCTCAGCAGACTGTACCTCAGGCTGTACCTCAGCAGGCTGTACCTCAGCAGGCTGTACCTCAGCAGACTGTACCTCAGCAGACTGTACCTCAGGCTGTACCTCAGCAGGCTGTACCTCAGCAGACTGTACCTCAGCAGACTGTACCTCAGCAGACTGTACCTCAGCAGACTGTACCTCAGCAGACTGTACCTCAGCAGACTGTACCTCAGGCTGTACCTCAGCAGACTGTACCTCAGGCTGTACCGCAGACTGTACCTCAGCAGACTGTACCGCAGACTGTACCTCAGCAGACTGTACCTCAGGCTGTACCTCAGCAGACTGTACCTCAGCAGACTGTACCTCAGCAGACTGTACCTCAGCAGACTGTACCTCAGGCTGTACCTCAGCAGACTGTACCTCAGCAGACTGTACCTCAGGCTGTACAGCAGACTGTACCTCAGGAGACTGTACCTCAGCAGACTGTACCTCAGCAGACTGTACCTCAGCAGACTGTACCTCAGGCTGTACCTCAGGCTGTACCTCAGCAGACTGTACCTCAGGCTGTACCTCAGCAGACTGTACCTCAGCAGACTGTACCTCAGCAGACTGTACCTCAGCAGACTGTACCCTCAGGAGACTGTACCTCAGCAGACTGTACCTCAGGCTGTACCTCAGCAGACTGTACCTCAGCAGACTGTACCTCAGGCTGTACCTCAGCAGACTGTACCTCAGCAGACTGTACCTCAGGCTGTACCTCAGCAGACTGTACCTCAGCAGACTGTACCTCAGGCTGTACAGCAGACTGTACCTCAGCAGACTGTACCTCAGCAGACTGTACCTCAGCAGACTGTACCTCAGCAGACTGTACCTCAGGCTGTACCTCAGCAGACTGTACCTCAGGCTGTACCTCAGCAGGCTGTACCTCAGCAGACTGTACCTCAGCAGGCTGTACCTCAGCAGACTGTACCTCAGGCTGTACCTCAGCAGACTGTACCTCAGCAGGCTGTACCTCAGCAGGCTGTACCTCAGCAGACTGTACCTCAGCAGACTGTACCTCAGGCTGTACCTCAGCAGACTGTACCTCAGCAGACTGTACCTCAGCAGACTGTACCTCAGCAGACTGTACCTCAGCAGACTGTACCTCGGCAGACTGTACCTCAGGCTGTACCTCAGCAGACTGTACCTCAGGCTGTACCGCAGACTGTACCTCAGCAGACTGTACCTCAAGAGGCTGTACCTCAGGAGGCTTTACCTCAGCAGACTGTACCTCAAGAGGCTGTACCTCAGCAGACTGTACCTCAGAATTTACCTCAGCAGGCTGTACCTCAGCAGACTGTACCTCAGCAGACTGTACCTCAGAATTTACCTCAGCAGACTGTACCTCAGGAGGCTGTACCTCAGCAGACTGTACCTCAGGAGGCTGTACCTCAGCAGACTGTACCTCAGGAGGCTGTACCTCAGCAGACTGTACCTCAGAAGGCTGTACCTCAGCAGACTGTACCTCAGAAGGCTGTACCTCAGCAGACTGTACCTCAGAAGGCTGTACCTCAGCAGACTGTACCTCAGCAGACTGTACCTCAGCAGACTGTACCTCAGCAGACTGTACCTCAGGCTGTACAGCAGACTGTACCTCAGGAGACTGTACCTCAGGAGACTGTACCTCAGGAGGCTGTACCTCAGACCAGGAAGAATAATAAGATTAGTGATAATAGTTTTCCTGCAGTTCTCCAGTTGTGAGCGTTTGTTTAAAGCAGTGATTTTGTTAGATCAAGAGGAGCCATTGACAAAGAGGCGGAGAGAGGACCCCACGGAGGAGGTACTGGAGATGCCTGAAAACTCTGAAAATCCTCTTCGATGTCCAGTCCGGCTTTATGAATTCTATCTCTCCAAATGGTGAGAAACAAACGCCACCAAAGGTTTCTGTAGAACGTCAAACACAACTGAACAAAAGGCTAGTCATTGTGAAGAGAAAACGTTCAAATGCAACCGTTTAGACCTGATATAAATAAATTTAAATCTTTGAGTGAGCTCTGTCCCCTTCGCTCTAATAACGTTCTGGGAGATATTGGTGGTTATGCCGAGGTTAGAGCCGGGATTCACCTCTGCGGGTTTTCATTCCAAGCAAAAGCATGTCAGCCTTTGAGGACTGATGTTGATATTATGTATTCATGTTACATATTTATTTCTTGGAAACAGTTTGAAAAGAGTCTGTAGTCTGTAGATACGACTTTTAGTCCACACAGATAGGACAGTAGTGAGACAGGCAGCAGCTGTAATGCTTTTAACAAGATAAATGCTTCATAAGAAGTAAATAATGAATATTACAGATGTTGAGCTCCTCAAACACTGAATGAACAAGTATCACGACAGTCTGTCTCATTTCATTTCTTCTGCTTCAGTTCTGAGTCGGTGAAGCAGCGCACAAACCTGTTCTACCTTCACCCCGAGCGCTGCTGCGTCCCCAACAGTCCGCTGTGGTTCTCCTCCACGCCACTAGATGACAGCACCATGGAGTCGATGCTCATCCGCATCCTGTCCATGAGAGAGCTGCACATCTGTCCGAGCAACCACAACGACAACGACTCGCCAGACGACAAACCCTACATCCCCGAAGAGGATTCGGAATGATGCTAAAGGCGCTACGTGGCTATAGCTCTCATGCTAAAGACGCTACAGCACTATAGCTCTCATGCTAAAGACGCTACAGCACTTTAGCTCTCATGCTAAAGACGCTACAGCACTATAGCTCTGATGCTAAAGACGCTACAGCACTATAGCTCTGATGCTAAAGACGCTACAGCACTATAGCTCTGATGCTAAAGGCGCTACGTGGCTATAGCTCTCATGCTAAAGACGCTACAACACTATAGCTTTCATGCTAGAGATGCTACAGCACTATAGCTCTGATGCTAAAGGCGCTACGTGGCTATAGCTCTCATGCTAAAGACGCTACAACACTATAGCTTTCATGCTAGAGATGCTACAGCACTATAGCTCTGATGCTAAAGACGCTACAGCACTATAGCTCTGATGCTAAAGACACTACAGCACTATAGCTCTGATGCTAAAGACGCTACAGCACTTTAGCTCTCATGCTAAAGACGCTACAGCACTATAGCTCTGATGCTAAAGACGCTACAGCACTATAGCTCTGATGCTAAAGATGCTACGTAGCTAAAGCTCGGGTGCTGAAGATGCTTCGCAGCGGTGTACATATTTCTTTGGACAAAAAGCTGTTAACGTTGTGTTCGTCTCAGACTGTTTTTCCGACGGAGATGCACCGCTTCATCACACGTTCTTTAGTCTTTAACAAAAAAGCACCAAGGAATCATAAACTTGATGTTAAGGAAAAGTATAAACGCTCAGTTCTGTCGTTTGACATTTCTCTAACAAACATTTCTCGATCATTTCCCAGTTTGATGCATTTTTGCACATTGCACATTTTTGAGGCCTTTCCACACATTTCTTTACTTTACAAAAGCTGCACAAAAAGCCTGAGGCTGCAGTTTATTTCACAGAAGATAAATGGACTCAAATATGATCACGTACAATCAATACAAATATTAGCTTTTATCACAAGTGTTTAATCATTTTAGATGTAGATTTCTAACAAACTGTTCTTTAGTTACACTTATTAAAAGTGTTAAATATATTACTCACTAAAACATTTTAATTCTGGGACTTGGAAACTGCTGATGTTTTGTTGAAGCGAATATTTACTCAGTTTCTCAGTCCCCATTTTTCGAGTAGTTGGATAAAAATCTCCATTTCTGTTTTAATCACTTGATAATTACCCATTTACTCATCGTCCAATCAGAAACCTGAGCTGTGGCTTTTGTCTTCAGAGTTTTGACTGAATTTCTTGCACAAAGGTTTTGATTGTGAAAAAAAGTCTTTTCATTCTGTGAGAGAATCTGTCCTCTTCCTGAAGTCCGTTCGCCGACGTGGATTTTTGTATTGTATGACCGTTTACAATAAACAAAGTTTCTAAATGTCTTTTCAATCTAGAAAAAAACAAAAAAACAATCTTTAAAAACTACTTCCTGGTTTTCAGACCTTTTTATTTTATCAGTTTTTTCAGACAAAGTGACTGACATTATTCATGTAACGGCAAAGTTCAGTACCCAAGCTTTAATTTATAAACATTTGACTTTTTTTGCTTGACCCATTACGTAAAAGATCTTCTTCGGGTGGATCATCTTTGAGACATGTTTTCTCTGAACAAAGATCCTCATACAATTTACACACAGTATATAAATTACATTTTTACTACAAAATACATTTATTTTACTGTGGTGCTAATGAAGATATTATAGAATAACACGTATAACCATTTTCAAACTTGTACCATGAACTGACCTCGAGGACCATCGACGGTCAAAACAAGATTATGGCTGAAAACAGAAATGTGTTTGACTTTTATAATCTTAGCCTCAGGTGAAATACATGAAGTATTTAGTTTATATCAGTGCATCCATTGACAGTTTGGCGGTAGTGTAAAGGAGCTCGGAGTAGAGCCGTTGCTTCTCCACGTTCATTCTTAAGTGTATACATAATGATGAAGACTGAGGTTCTCATTTAAAGTAAACTTATTACTTTATCATGTCTCCCTCTGTTTATTATTTCAGAGTCAACCCACTTTCCAGGCCCTGGAAAACTTAACCTAATTTTGTTCATTTTGGAAAATTTTTACTCCCGATATTCCTAGTTGGAGTAAATAATCTTCTAAAACGGATTTTACAGCGTGATGATGATGGCAATACATTTTTTATATTTGTCATAAACAGTCTTTAAAAAGGTCTGATTTGAACCAAACCGGTTTTCAAATAGGTTTGAATCTAACGATTCCGGGACATTGAAAAGATCCATCACTGCTGTTTTATGACTCTGGGCTTGAACCGAGCACAAACATGATCCAGGTCCTGTTTGTCCAGAGAATGTCCCAACAGCAGATACGAGGACAGCGCCGCCGCCAGGACGAGCCGGTCCAGTGTCAGCGCAGGCAGCACCCACAGCACCAGCAGCAGCTCCACACACACGGGATGACGCAGGTGGGACAGCAGCCTCTGAGCTCCACTCGCCCCGTCCCACGGAGGGTCCCTCCGGCCGATGCATTTGTAGTACACCTGCAGAGGACACAACTCACTCAGTGGAATTTGTTATATTTGTCTTTACACCAAAAAGCAGTGCAATTTCCCCGATGTGGGACGAATAAAGGATCATTTAATCTTAATCTACTTCTACCACTCAATGGGAGTGTCACATCCCAAAATATATATATAAATGCAATGAACCTCAGCCTCAGAGAATACATCTGACCAGAATAACAAATGTCTCATTTTGTTTGTTCCAATGCGCGTCCTGACGTACACGATTGTTCTGTGTGGTTTTGTGAAATGCATTTCTCCAAAAGAACTAGCGCCCAACGTGGGGCTCGAACCCACGACCCTGAGATTAAGAGTCTCATGCTCTACCGACTGAGCTAGCCGGGCTGCTCCCTACGCAGGATCACGTGATAGGATTAGTTCGTTATGGACGTTGTGAGGAATGAATTCGTTGAACATTGTGCACAGATTATATTATTTTATATATATTACAGCGCTATTGTAGCAGTAATTACTATTCGGTGTCTCTTTATTCTCAATATAAAAGTGTGATATTTACACTTTTATACGTACATAAAAAGTCTTGGCATTTACTCAAGTCCTGTGCAGATGTGAACCATAACTAATACAACATATAATTAATAAATTATTCATGTGTAGTGTTTACTGAACCGCATTATGCAAGGTGTATTTTGTTCAGGCTTCTTTTTTACTGAAATGTTCTCTATTTCAGTGTTAAAAACCAAGCGCCCAACGTGGGGCTCGAACCCACGACCCTGAGATTAAGAGTCTCATGCTCTACCGACTGAGCTAGCCGGGCTCAGTCCGTAGAGCTTTTTTAAAATTTAAAATAGTACAGTAAAGTTCGTACACTAGCGTTCCCACTGCGTAGTTTTGAAGAGCATGTTGTAATCCCACACCCAACCACAGGATGGCGATCTCACTGGAGTTGCCTGTGACACCAAAGGATCAAATGGGCTCTATGCACGCTCCACTTTCGCGTTTTAGTTATAACCATAGACCATAACCATAAAGATTCACATGTCCATGGCAAGCCCCAGTGATCCAAGATGGCGCCCTATTTATTTATTGATTTATTTGATAGGGACAAGTGTTACACAATCAACATGTGAAACACTACAACATTTATAGCCAAGGCTAGCTTGCAATGTCCGTCCCTAGGAGGGCTTTTAACACAATTAAAACACATTATACATTATAAAATTCACATTATACAAAAGCAGATGTTCTCCAACTCATTGATGCTCACACACCTGGTTTGTTTTAAAAAATCGCTTTAGTTCATGTTTAAAACCAGCCCAGTCAGAGTTCAGTTTTAGCTGAGGGCTTAAAGAGTTCCAGAGCTTTGCCCCCTGGACCGAGAAGACCGACTGTCCGAATGTGGTTCTCCTGAGGGGCCTCACACTCCCGTTAGAGGAGCCCCGTGTGACGGATCTCAGAGGAACTATGAGAGCACTCAGGACAGCAGGGGCTCGACTGTGCAAACATTTGTACAATAATTTACAATTACAAAATTTAATAAAATTATCAAAACTAAGAAAATGTAGTCTCTGCAACACCTGGCAATGGTGTGTTCTTATTGGCTTTTTGTCCAGTATTTTTATGGCTCTGTTGTAGAGCATTCTTACTGGTTTGATGGAAGAGGCTGTGGCCTGGGACCAGCAGGTGATACAGAAACTTATCTGAGAAACAATCATGGCGTGTAGAAAGATATTGGCTGCGTTGAAAGGTAAACAATCTCTGATGAATCTAAAACTTTACAAACTTGATTTAGTCCTTTTTACAATCTTGTTCATGTGACTGTCAAATTGCAAGTGAGAGTCCAGAATTAGGCCTAAATGTTTGAATTCTCTCACTTGCTCAATGTGTTGCCTGTCAATTGTTAGGGGTAGGTTCTCAGTGGGACGTGTTCTAGATGAAAAACAGACAGATTTTGTTTTACTGACATTTAAAGTAAGACCAGAATTTTGAAACCATTTTGAAACCATTCTGCTACAGCCTCTAGATGGCGCTGTAGCTGTGCAGTAATGGTTTCAATTGTTTTGCCACTCACATATACAACTGCATCGTCTGCATAGAGCTGGATACCTGCTCCTGGGCATGCGTTTGGTAAGTTATTAATGTAAAGTGTAAAGAGAAGTGGGCCCAATATTGATCCCTGCGGGACTCCTGATTTTAATGTTAAAAAGGATGACTTTTCGTTATTGATTATTACACACTGTTGTCTCTGTTCCAGATATGTCTTGAACCACTGCAGAGCTGGTTCTTCAAAGTTTAGTCCAGATAGTTTGAGCACAAGGAGATCATGGTCTAGAACGTCTTTTTTAAGTCCAAAAATACTGATCCAACCATCAAGCCTTTGTCAATGGCTGACTTAAGTTGTTCAATAATAATTATTCAAATGAATGGTTGTGCTCAGTGGCGCTTTGTGCCGGCACGGTCGCTGAAAGATTAGCGGAAATCACCTGGAAGTCGCAAAGATCTTTGGGAAACTCGCCTGTATTTGGGCATCGTCTGGTCCTCCCGTTTCTGTGCAGTGGACGAGCTCCCATGATGCATTGCACCAAATACGTGTGTGGCTCTCACGCACGTGCACAGAGGGGCTCGGCTCTGACCAATCAGAGCTGATCAGAGCGGGAGTTAGAGCCAGAGCCAGACGAGCAGAGTGTGGATTTAAACAAAACCGAAGGATTTAAGAAGAAAAAAGGTTCAGGACGACAAGGGACACCAAAATCCCCACAAAATCTGACCTTTATGAAAGCTGTAGGTTCTCTGTCAGGTTCTCTGTCAGGTTCTCTGTCAGGTTCTCTGTCAGGTTCTCTGTAGGTTCTCTGTCAGGTTCTCTGTCAGGTTCTCTGTCAGGTTCTCTGTCAGGTTCTCTGTCAGGTTCTCTGTAGGTTCTCTGTCAGGTTCTCTGTCAGGTTCTCTGTCAGGTTCTCTGTAGGTTCTCTGTCAGGTTCTCTGTCAGGTTCTCTGTCAGGTTCTCTGTCAGGTTCTCTGTAGGTTCTCTGTCAGCTGAGGTCGAGCTGTTTTAGTTTACATTGAGTCCTATGGGGAAACTTTCTGGGTAGCCCATGTGACTTTAGTCTGGTTCAGTCTGGTTCAGTCTGGTCTAGTCTGGTTCAGTCTGGTTCAGTCTGCAGTACCGCGAGAATCCCCTGAGCACGTGAGTTATTCAGCTCCTAGCTGTAATACTCTATCCAGTTAATATAATAGATCCATGGTCTATGGTTATAAAAACACGTGACTTCCTGTGCCGCGGGGAACGGCCTGAGTTTCACTGGAGTTCACATGTTTACACCAGTTTCCTAAATAATGATCAAACGGGAATTAAACTGTGGATACTGGGCATTTGTGGGACACAGCAGTGCTCTTTGATTGTGCTGTATTTTTATAAAGTTAACTAATCTCTCTGAGTGGCCACAGTTAAAGCTCTTCTCAGAGAGAAAGCACAGACACTTTTGGGTCAGTCTCAGCTGAATGTATCTAATTACTAAAAGACGTCACTAAAACCGCCACAGCCACAGCGATAGCGATAGCGATAGCATAGACAGGAAGTAAACGAGCCGTCGCTCAGTGCACAATTAACAATAACGATCAAGATTTTGCAATGTGAATATATAACTAATTATTTTCTCATTCAACATCTCAGCGCCCAACACGGGGCTCTGACCCACGACCCTGTGGTTAAAAGTCTCTTGCTCTACTGATTGAGCTAGCCAACTGAGCTAGCGGCTGCTGCGGAGCCAACAGATCGATGACTACAATTTTTAATTAGTACTATATTTATAGTCTACATTAGATATATTGTCAACTATAAATCTAATAAATGGTTACTAGTGTTGTTACTACTGCTGTCGTCATGGATACTACTGGATACTACTGTCATGGTTACGACTGCTGTTGTCTGGTTACTAGTGTTGTTGTCATGGTTATTAGTGTTGTTGTCATGGATACTTCTGTTGTTACTACTGTTGTTGTCATAGTTACTAGTGTTGTTACAACTTTTCTTGTATTGATACTACTGTTTTTGTCATGGATACTACTGTTGTTGTCATGGTTACTACTGTTGTTGTCATGGTTACTAGTGTTGTTACTACTGTTGTCGTCATGGTTACTAGTGTTGTTACTACTGCTGTTGTCATGGTTACTAGTGTTGTTACTACTGTTGTTGTCATGGTTACTGGTGTTGTTACTACTGCTGTTGTCATGGTTACTAGTGTTGTTACTACTGTTGTCGTCATGGTTACTACTGTTGTCGTCATAGATACTACTGGATACTACTGTCATGGTTACTACTGTTGTTGTCATGGTTACTACTGGATACTACTGTCATGGTTACTACTGTTGTTGTCATGGTTACTACTGTTGTTACTACTGTTGTTGTCATGGATACTAGTGTTGTTTGTCTGACATTGTTTCACTGTCACCTGCTTGATGCCCATGAGTTCAGGATAATCGAAGATGATGAGGATGCTGCAGATCAGAGCCCAGCAGACGAAGTGCAGCGAAAAGCACAAGAGAGGAAACCACACACTCCAGGGTGCAGTTCTGACCGACCACAGGCAGGGGGCGCCACTGACCGGCTGCCAACACCGCATCAACACCTGAAACAGCAACAAGGTTAGTGGTTATATTTGAACCCTAACCCTATGTATTGTACATATATAGCGACATTGTTTTCTTATACGTGAATGAGAATGAGAACCTATGACACAGACCCATGTTTTGGACAAAGGACAAACATGAAGAATATTCACTGAATCAGACTCAAAGAATTGAAGTTCATGGAGACCGCGTTTATATCTGTTTGGACTAAGTAAGATCTCAAGGATTGGGGTCTTTATTCTGATTACACATCATATAAAAGGTTCTGTCTGTATGGACTTAATCAACATTTATCGACAGTGGTCTCTGCTCCTTTTGGACCAATGGCTCTACGTGGTTTTATCGTTGCATTTATTGTGTTTGAACTGTTTGATTCTCTGATCTGTGAAGGTGAATCGGCTATGTAAGGTCCTGTGAGATAACTACAGATAACTACTGTTGTGATTTAGGGCAATACAAGGACACAACAAGTCTCTAACAATCCAAGCACTTCTGTGGTTTCTCTAGATTCATAATAGTGTATTCACTTCCTCCTGCAGCTAAGAGTTGTGTCCACATCAAACACTCATCTCTTCACGTGTCCTGGGTCCTGAGTGAGGAGTACCTGCAGCGTGAGGGCGGTGGTGAAGCAGTAGACCGAGCGGCTCATGGCCCCGAGGCTCCGCTCACAAACCTGTTTGACCGGAGTCCAGGCCAGGACACTGTGCTGCAGCGCGAACAGACCCACCAGACACAGGTCTCCGAGCAGAGAACCCAGCACCCGTGGGTCACACAGAGCAGAGGACCAGGCCACAGAGTCTGAGCAAAGGACAAACCACATCTGAGTGTATAAGGGACATTACAGGAACAGGCAGCTGACCATGGCATCCATATGGATCAATATGGATCAATATGGATCAATATGGATCAATATGGATAGTTATCTATACAACAGACAGCATGTAAATAGGTTGGTTAAGTTTCCAAGTACAAATGAAAGGCACAGCTCTGGATTTACCAGCCATGCTACGACCTCAGTCAACCCTCACCTTGGTCACTACCGTACCTTAAAAATATCTCAGATTAAGATTAAGAGATCCTTTATTGGTCTCACAGCGAAATTTCAGTGTTGCATCACAAGTTATAGAACAGTAAGAAAGAGGAGCACACAGCACAAGGTAAATGAGCAATAACTATACTATGTTTTACTAAATAAAACAAAATCAAACTCTAGCATCAATAACAAGTATAACATCTCTATCTTGAAAACAATAATAATAATAAAAAAGAAGAATAAAAGTTTTACATTTGGTAAAATAAGAGTCAAGTATAATATATTCTATCTGCTTCACCTTTTACTCAGACTTGGTGCATTTGTTGTTGCATTAACATGTGTTTTCCAAACTGTGGGAAACAAACTTACATGTCTTTAAATTATTAAAGTAAACAGTGATTGTGTTTCAGGATTTATTTTAGTTGCTTCAGTTTGAAAACGATAGAAAACAGAAAATTCTAGCGCCCAACGTGGGGCTCGAACCCACGACCCTGAGATTAAGAGTCTCATGCTCTACCGACTGAGCTAGCCGGGCGACCTGACCTCCGGGGCGATATCAGGGAATATAAAGGTATAATGAAGGATATGAATCTGATGAACGTGTTATCAAACTAATGACAGAAGAATGCAACATTTCACGTCCAACACTTTTCAAACTCAGTCTCTGTGTTAACGTGATGACGCAAAACGCACGAACACGGTCGTCATTGCGCAATCTCCCAAGTTTGCAAACGAATGTAAACATGTAAACTCCCAGAGCAGATAAGCAGCCACTCACCCTGGCACCGGGTCGTTTCGCCGGTGATGTTGTGATAAATCTCTCTGAACGAAACGAAGCGGATAAAGTCTGAGCCGGTGATGAAGACGAAGGCGAAGTTGAGCAGAGCCGCCGCACACAGCACTGCTCCTGACGCCATTTCAATCACTTTTATCTTCATTTGGCTCCGAGCGCAGCGCTGTTTCCGGGACCACACACCGCACAGAACCACCACCAGAGGGTGCTAGAGCGACTGTAGACCAGGACACAGAACCACCACCAGAGGGTGCTAGAGCGACTGTAGACCAGGACACAGAACCACCACCAGAGGGTGCTAGAGCAACTGTAGACCAGGACACAGAACCACCACCAGAGGGTGCTAGAGCGACTGTAGACCAGGACACAGAACCACCACCAGAGGGTGCTAGAGCGACTGTAGACCAGGACACAGAACCACCACCAGAGGGTGCTAGAGCAACTGTAGACCAGGACACAGAACCACCACCAGAGGGTGCTAGAGCGACTGTAGACCAGGACACAGAACCACCACCAGAGGGTGCTAGAGCGAGCATTGTTCTTTGTATGAAACCAAAGCATGATAAATATTACAGTAACTTCTGTTTTATACTAATATTAGATGTTTTTATGTAATTGTACGAGTTTCTGTCTAAATTCAACAGATTCTGGAAACATTTTAAAATAATAATAATGTGGTATTTTCAGAATAGACTGTGATCTGTTCGTGAGACTTTAACTTAGATAAAGACGATGTAAAGAAAAGGCGTGTCTCAGTTTGAGCCTCAGTGTTTCTGAGGAATGTTTGAGACGAGTTTAGACGGATCAGAAACGTCCTGTTCTCAGAAGGAAACTACTGACACTGAAACTACTGACTCTGAAACTACTGACACTAAAACTACTGACACTGAAACTACTGACACTGAAACTACTGACACTGAAACTACTGACACTGAAACTACTGACTGAAACTACTGACACTAAAACTACTGACACTGAAACTACTGACTGAAACTACTGACACTAAAACTACTGACACTGAAACTACTGACTCTGAAACTACTGACACTAAAACTACTGACACTGAAACTACTGACTCTAAAACTACTGACACTGAAACTACTGACTCTGAAACTACTGACACTGAAACTACTGACTCTGAAACTACTGACACTGAAACTACTGACTCTGAAACTACTGACACTGAAACTACTGACTCTGAAACTACTGACACTAAAACTACTGACTCTGAAACTACTGATACTAACACTACAGACACTGAATCTACAGACACTGAATCTACAGACACTAAAACTACTGACACTGAAACTACTGACTCTGAAACTACTGACACTGAAACTACTGACTCTGAAACTACTGACACTGAAACTACTGACTCTGAAACTACTGACACTGAAACTACTGACTCTGAAACTACTGACACTAAAACTACTGACTCTGAAACTACTGATACTAACACTACAGACACTGAATCTACAGACACTGAATCTACAGACACTAAAACTACTGACACTGAAACTACTGACTCTGAAACTACTGACACTGAAACTACTGACACTGAAACTACTGACTCTGAAACTACTGACACTAAAACTACTGACTCTGAAACTACTGATACTAACACTACAGACACTGAATCTACAGACACTGAATCTACAGACACTAAAACTACTGACACTAAAACTACTGACTCTGAAACTACTGACACTAAAACTACTGACACTGAAACTACTGACACTAAAACTACTGACACTAAAACCACTGACACTGAAACTACTGACACTAAAACTACTGACACTAAAACCACTGACACTGAAACTACTGACACTAAAACTACTGACACTAAAACCACTGACACTGAAACCACTGACTCTGAAACCACAGACACTGAAACTAACCCTAACACTATTATAATATAACAGTTATTATTATGTTATAATAAAAAAAAATATATAGTCATTTTAGTTGTTTACCAGCTTTACTGGTACTCTCTGAGGGTACAGAGGTTTCTCTCTCTCTGAGGGTACAGAGGTCTCTCTCTCTCTCTCTCTCTCTCTGAGGGTACAGAGGTTTCTCTCTCTCTGAGGGTACAGAGGTCTCTCTCTCTCTCTCTCTCTCTCTGAGGGTACAGAGGTCTCTCTCTCTCTCTCTGAGGGCACAGAGGTCTCTCTCTCTCTGAGGGTACAGAGGTCTCTCTCTCTCTGCGGGTACAGAGGTCTCTCTCTGAGGGTACAGAGGTCTCTCTCTCTCTGCGGGTACAGAGGTCTCTCTCTCTGAGGGTACAGAGGTCTCTCTCTCTCTGAGGGTACAGAGGTCTCTCTCTCTCTCTCTCTCTGAGGGTACAGAGGTCTCTCTCTCTCTCTCTCTGCGGGTACAGAGGTCTCTCTCTCTGAGGGTACAGAGGTCTCTCTCTCTCTCTCTCTCTCTCTGAGGGTACAGAGGTCTCTCTCTCTCTCTCTCTCTCTGAGGGTACAGATGTCTCTCTCTCTCTCTCTCTGAGGGTACAGAGGTCTCTCTCGCTGTAACCCATTTTCCGACGCCGTGAGGTCTTTTCATATTGAATATTGATCGATGTTTATTTATAATTGAATTAAAGCCGCTGCACGGATCAGACCAGTTAGGTAGACCACTTGTTTCTTGTGCTGTGTTCTCACTCCGTCCTGTTCCTGATGATGCAACACTGACATTTCCCCAAAGCATAACCATAATAATAATACAGTATTACAGTAGTATATTATTATAATAAAATATTATTCTGATATAACACTATACTATAATTAGCGTGTACAAACAGCTGTGATTCGTCAGTGCGATAAAGCACGTGACCAAGGCACGTGACCAAGACCACGCTCTTCGTCAGAGACAGCAAGAGCAAATGTGGAGTGTTTGGACATGCACCCCCCCCGTGCCCCCCCCCCCCCTCTCTGTGCCGCCCCCCCCCTCTCTGTGCCGCCCCCCCCCCCTCTCTGTGCCGCCCCCCCCCCTCTCTGTGCCGTCCCCCCTCTCTGTGCCGCCCCCCCCCTCTCTGTGCCCCCCCCTCTCTGTGCCGCCCCCCCCCCTCTCTGTGCCCCCCCCCCCCTCTCTGTGCCGCCCCCCCCTCTCTGTGCCGCCCCCCCCCCTCTCTGTGCCGCCCCCCCCTCTCTGTGCCGCCCCCCCCCCCTCTCTGTGCCGTCCCCCCTCTCTGTGCCCCCCCCCCCTCTCTGTGCCGTCCCCCCCTCTCTGTGCCGCCCCCCCCTCTCTGTGCCCCCCCCCCCCCCCCTCTCTGTGGAGATCTGTTCACAAACGCTTCTGTCCAAGAGACGATTTGTAAAAATAGGGCAATCATCGAGTCGACAGAGGACAGAGGACAGAGGACAGAGGACAGAGGACAGAGGACAGAGGACAGAGGACAGAGGACTCACTCTGTGGAACTTCCTGTTTTCTTTCTGCTCCCTCATTTCTCCAAAGAATTGGGCTCAAGTTGGAACACGTAAAAACGTAATAACGTGACGCTTCTCACCTGACGTCACGGGACCACGCCCTTTTCCACGGCAGGTACCAGGAAGTGGAGCTCACAGCAGCTCGGTCCCAGGCGGAGAAGTGAGTGAAGCATGCACTGAAGCAGCCCCGCGGCCGCCGCTCAGACCGCACTCAGACCGCAGTGTGCCATGCGTCTCTCCGGGAGGACGGTGCTTTTGGGGGCTCTGCTGGGGGTCCTGCTGGGGGTCCTGTGTGCAACAGGTGAGTGCCATAGTTCTGCGTCTGTCCGAGCTCGTCTCGTCTGAACCATAATAAAGAAAACGCCCATGAGTGTTTCAGGGACAGTCAGACTCATGTGCGAAGTGCCGAACTATGTCCAGTACTTCAGTCCAGTACCGACTCTAATGTTCTGTTCCGTGCGGAGCGGGCTGCTGCATGTGTATTAACTACAGAACCCCTTGTTTTGCTAAAGGCAGAGTTTTGTAGTTTTATGCTAACGATAGAAAATCTAAACGTGTTTCTTCTTCATGCTGGAGTTTCTGTGGTGTGTGTGCTCCTCATTCTCCTGCTCTGACTGACGCAACACTGGCTCTAAAGGAAAGGCTCTGTGCTCAACCTCCAATATACAGTTCAATATACAGTTCAATATACAGTTCAATATACAGTTCAATATACAGTTCAATATACAGTTCAATATACAGTTCAATATACAGTTCAATATACAGTTCAATATACAGTTCAATATACAGTTCAATATACAGTTCAATATACAGTTAAATATACAGTTCAATATACAGTTAAATATACAGTTCAATATACAGTTAAATATACAGTTAAATATACAGTTAAATATACAGTTAAATATACAGTTCAATATACAGTTCAATATACAGTTCAATATACAGTTGAATATACAGTTGAATATACAGTTGAATAACGACAGTTTCATGAATCACATATGATATAATATAATATGATATAATATAATATATAATAATAATTCTGTCTCAAACTTAACCCAGAGATAAACAAATGTATCAGGACACATTTGACTCAAAGGAAGGAGAAACTTTCCTCTCTTCTCCCTCTCTCCACCTCTCTCCACCTCTCTCCACCTCTCTTCTCCCTCTCTCCACCTCTCTCCACCTCTCTCCACCTCTCTCCTCCCTCTCTCCACCTCTCTCCACCTCTCTCCACCTCTCTCCACCTCTCTCCACCTCTCTCCCTCCCTCTCCTCCCTCTCCATCCCTCCACCTCTCTTCTCCCTCTCTCCACCTCTCTCCACCTCTCTCCACCTCTCTCCACCTCTCTCCATCCCTCCATCTCTTTGGGAGGACAGCCCTTGACATAAATCCTGCTGATGAATGATGGATGAGTGGATGAAAGCTGGCGGTGAGTGGGTGTTGGAGAGAAAACCCGCTTCTTCGTCTTCGTTCCAAGACTTCCATTTTCAAAGGTTTATGAGGCGTTTATGGAGCTTCCTTTGGCGTGAATCCATCATGACCTCATTAATGATTGACCGACAATCTGCTGTAATGTGAAACTGGCCGCGCTCCCATTCTCTCCCACGGACCCTGAACGCACCGTGGCTTTGTGCGTAGAAAAAGCTTCTGTGGAAAACTTTATTGTTCCGGGGTTTTTTCTCTGGCTTTGTTTACTTTTTACCTACTTCTACTTTTGTCACCGCCAGGACAGGTCTGTGCACGTTTCAGAGCAGGTCCAGGACAGGTCTGTGCACGTTTCAGAGCAGGTCCAGGACAGGTCTGTGCACGTTTCAGATCAGGTCCAGGACAGGTCTGTGCACGTTTCAGAGCAGGTCCAGGACAGGTCTGTGCACGTTTCAGAGCAGGTCCAGGACAGGTCTGTGCACGTTTCAGAGCAGGTCCAGGACAGGTCTGTGCACGTTTCAGATCAGGTCCAGGACAGGTCTGTGCACGTTTCAGAGCAGGTCCAGGACAGGTCTGTGCACGTTTCAGAGCAGGTCCAGGACAGGTCTGTGCACGTTTCAGAGCAGGTCCAGGACAGGTCTGTGCACGTTTCAGAGCAGGTCCAGGACAGGTCTGTGCACGTTTCAGAGCAGGTCCAGGACAGGTCTGTGCACGTTTCAGAGCAGGTCCAGGACAGGTCTGTGCACGTTTCAGAGCAGGTCCAGGACAGGTCTGTGCACGTTTCAGAGCAGGTCCAGGACAGGTCTGTGCACGTTTCAGAGCAGGTCCAGGACAGGTCTGTGCACGTTTCAGAGCAGGTCCAGGACAGGTCTGTGCACGTTTCAGAGCAGGTCCAGGACAGGTCTGTGCACGTTTCAGAGCAGGTCCAGGACAGGTCTGTGCACGTTTCAGAGCAGTTCCAGGACAGGTCTGTGCACGTTTCAGAGCAGGTCCAGGACAGGTCTGTGCACGTTTCAGAGCAGGTCCAGGACAGGTCTGTGCACGTTTCAGATCAGGTCCAGGACAGGTCTGTGCACGTTTCAGAGCAGGTCCAGGACAGGTCTGTGCACGTTTCAGAGCAGGTCCAGGACAGGTCTGTGCACGTTTCAGATCAGGTCCAGGACAGGTCTGTGCACGTTTCAGAGCAGGTCCAGGACAGGTCTGTGCACGTTTCAGAGCAGGTCCAGGACAGGTCTGTGCACGTTTCAGATCAGGTCCAGGACAGGTCTGTGCACGTTTCAGAGCAGGTCCAGGACAGGTCTGTGCACGTTTCAGAGCAGGTCCAGGACAGGTCTGTGCACGTTTCAGAGCAGGTCCAGGACAGGTCTGTGCACGTTTCAGAGCAGGTCCAGGACAGGTCTGTGCACGTTTCAGATCAGGTCCAGGACAGGTCTGTGCACGTTTCAGAGCAGGTCCAGGACAGGTCTGTGCACGTTTCAGAGCAGGTCCAGGACAGGTCTGTGCACGTTTCAGATCAGGTCCAGGACAGGTCTGTGCACGTTTCAGAGCAGGTCCAGGACAGGTCTGTGCACGTTTCAGAGCAGGTCCAGGACAGGTCTGTGCACGTTTCAGAGCAGTTCCAGGACAGGTCTGTGCACGTTTCAGAGCAGGTCCAGGACAGGTCTGTGCACGTTTCAGAGCAGGTCCAGGACAGGTCTGTGCACGTTTCAGATCAGGTCCAGGACAGGTCTGTGCACGTTTCAGAGCAGGTCCAGGACAGGTCTGTGCACGTTTCAGAGCAGGTCCAGGACAGGTCTGTGCACGTTTCAGAGCAGGTCCAGGACAGGTCTGTGCACGTTTCAGAGCAGGTCCAGGACAGGTCTGTGCACGTTTCAGAGCAGGTCCAGGACAGGTCTGTGCACGTTTCAGAGCAGGTCCAGGACAGGTCTGTGCACGTTTCAGAGCAGGTCCAGGACAGGTCTGTGCACGTTTCAGAGCAGGTCCAGGACAGGTCTGTGCACGTTTCAGAGCAGTTCCAGGACAGGTCTGTGCACGTTTCAGAGCAGGTCCAGGACAGGTCTGTGCACGTTTCAGAGCAGGTCCAGGACAGGTCTGTGCACGTTTCAGATCAGGTCCAGGACAGGTCTGTGCACGTTTCAGAGCAGGTCCAGGACAGGTCTGTGCACGTTTCAGAGCAGGTCCAGGACAGGTCTGTGCACGTTTCAGAGCAGGTCCAGGACAGGTCTGTGCACGTTTCAGAGCAGGTCCAGGACAGGTCTGTGCACGTTTCAGAGCAGGTCCAGGACAGGTCTGTGCACGTTTCAGAGCAGGTCCAGGACAGGTCTGTGCACGTTTCAGAGCAGGTCCAGGACAGGTCTGTGCACGTTTCAGAGCAGGTCCAGGACAGGTCTGTGCACGTTTCAGAGCAGGTCCAGGACAGGTCTGTGCACGTTTCAGAGCAGGTCCAGGACAGGTCTGTGCACGTTTCAGAGCAGGTCCAGGACAGGTCTGTGCACGTTTCAGATCAGGTCCAGGACAGGTCTGTGCACGTTTCAGATCAGGTCCAGGACAGGTCTGTGCACGTTTCAGAGCAGGTCCAGGACAGGTCTGTGCACGTTTCAGATCAGGTCCAGGACAGGTCTGTGCACGTTTCAGAGCAGGTCCAGGACAGGTCTGTGCACGTTTCAGAGCAGTTCCAGGACAGGTCTGTGCACGTTTCAGAGCAGGTCCAGGACAGGTCTGTGCACGTTTCAGAGCAGGTCCAGGACAGGTCTGTGCACGTTTCAGAGCAGGTCCAGGACAGGTCTGTGCACGTTTCAGATCAGGTCCAGGACAGGTCTGTGCACGTTTCAGAGCAGGTCCAGGACAGGTCTGTGCACGTTTCAGAGCAGGTCCAGGAGTAAAGTCTGAGCCACAGACGATGTGTGTGTGTGTGTGTGTGTCTGTGGAACCTTAAGGACAATCTGTGGCTACTTTTGCTTTTTGAGAAGTTTGAATTCATGTTTGTGCAGCTCTGAATATCACCACAGCCGTCGATTCACTCAGAGCAGATCAGAAAATCAATCAGTGAACGCAGGAAATGCAGTAAAAACAAACACAGGAGCGAGACACATCCAACAACTCTGTAGCAGAAGTATTTAAGGACGAATAAGAACATTCTAATATTTAAATACACACAAACTATAGATTAGTAACAGACATTTTTAATCCAAAAGAAGCTAAAGCGGTGTTTAGTGTCAGGATTCTAACGTCACAAACTGCGACGACTTCAAACCTTAAAGGTCAGAGGTCAAAGTCAAAAGCTGCTCAAAGACTCTCACATTTTATGGATTGTTTTGAGCTCATGGAACACAGAGAAAAACAACATTAAACTGTGGTCGATGGATTCAGTCAGAACACACTGAGTCCTTTCACACCACAGCAGCTGTAGTTAAGTCCACAGCCGCTTGATCCACAGCTGCTGTTTGGTTCAGGGACAGTATCAGGTTCAGGTTCAGCTGCTGCGGACGTTTCTCACTGATGCTCTAATGAAACATCAGTGAGATTGATCTGAGAACACAGGCGCTCTCTGAACACAGGCGCTCTCTGAACACAGCCTCTCTCTGAACACGGCCTCTCTCTCTGAACACAGCCTCTCTCTGAACACAGCCTCTCTCTCTGAACACAGCCTCTCTCTCTGAACACGGCCTCTCTCTGAACACAGCCTCTCTCTGAACACAGCCTCTCTCTGAACACAGCCTCTCTCTCTGAACACAGCCTCTCTCTCTGAACACAGCCTCTCTCTCTCTGAACACAGCCTCTCTCTCTGAACACGGCCTCTCTCTCTGAACACGGCCTCTCTCTCTGAACACAGCCTCTCTCTGAACACAGCCTCTCTCTGAACACAGCCTCTCT